AGAAAGTGCACTAATTTCAGAATCTCCTAAAGTAAATTTAGGTCCCATATCCCATTAGGGGAAAACGAAAAACAATAATGATAAAAGTGAGTTATACACAACGGAATGAGAAAGGCTTAAAATTAGATGTCAAAATTTGAAGGCTGAACATCTGTTAAGATTTCAATGGAAAAAATTATCATTGGAGTTTGAATTTCTCCTAAGCCCATTTTTATATGCAAGATGGGTTCCGTTAATAAATTCCTTATTTGTCAGAAAAATTTCCTTGTCAGAGCGAAACGTGTCACCATAAAACTGTCTGGTTTGCATATTGTATATGATGTATGTATTTGTGTATGTAACTTACCACACGGAAATGAAATTTAAATCATAAAGAGTAAATGATACATATATAATAGAACTTTAAAATAAAATAGGGAACCAGAGAAGAGAGAGAAGAGGGGGAACCAGAGAAGAGAGAGAAGAGGGGGAACCAGAGAGAGCGAGAAGAGGGGGAAAAGGGAACCAGAGAGAGAAAGAGAGAGAAAAGGGAACCAGAGAGAGAAAGAGAGAGAGAAAAGGGAACCAGAGAGGGAGGAAAAAAAAGGAACCAGAGAGAGAGAGAGAAAAAAGGGAACCAGAGAGAGAGAGAAAAAAAAAGGAACCAGAGAGAAAAAAAAACCAGGAACCAGAGAGAAAAAAAAAAGGGAACCAGAGAGAGAGAGAAAGGAACCAGAGAGAGAGAGAAAAAAAAAACCAGAGACCAGAGAGAGAGAGAAAAAAGGGAAACCAGAGAGAGAGAGAAAAAAAAAGGAACCAGAGAGAGAGAGAAAAAAAAAAGGGAACCAGAGAGAGAGAGAAAAAAAAAAGGAACCAGAGAGAGAGAGAGAAAAAAAAGGGAACCAGAGAGAGAGAGAGAGAAAAAAAAACCAGAGAGAGAGAGAGAGAGAGAAAAAAAAAACCAGAGAGAGAGAGAGAAAAAAAAAAAACCAGAGAGAGAGAGAGAAAAAAAAAAAACCAGAGAGAGAGAGAAAAAAAAAGGGAACCAGAGAGAGAGAGAAAAAAAAGGGAACCAGAGAGAGAGAGAAAAAAAAGGGAACCAGAGAGAGAGAGAGAAAAAAAAAGGGAACCAGAGAGAGAGAGAGAAAAAAAAAGGGAACCAGAGAGAGAGAGAGAGAAAAAAAAGGGAACCAGAGAGAGAGAGAGAGAGAGAGAGAGAGAAAAAGGGGAACCAGAGAGAGAGAGAAAAAGGGAACCAGAGAGAGAGAGAAAAAGGGAACCAGAGAGAGAGAGAAAAAAACCAGAGGAGAGAGAGAAAAAGGAAACCAGAGAGAGAGAGAAAAAAGGAAACCAGAGAGAGAGAGAAAAAAGGAAACCAGAGAGAGAGAGAGAGAGAGAAAAAGGAAACCAGAGAGAGAGAGAGAAAAAAAGGAAACCAGAAAAAAGGAAACCAGAGAGAGAGAGAGAGAGAGAGAAAAAAGGGAACCAGAGAGAGAAAGAGAAAGGAAGAAGAAAAAAAAAAAAAATTCAAACAAACTACAAAGACAGCAATCATTATTTTCATGTTAGCCCCAGCCAGTCACTTACCTCGTAAGGCAGATTCCTGTTTGGTCGACCTTAACAAGGGTTGTTCGTACATTAATATGGTCCAGAAGTAATGTATCGTTTCCAAGGGTTAAAAGTGATTACTCCAGGTGAAGGAACTTGCGTGTCATTTTGAGCAAATAACGGACAGCATATAGTTAGTGCCAAGAAAATACAGGTCAGCTAGCAACAACCAAAAAAAATGATAATTTAAAAAGAGAGATAGAGCGATCAGGATATTAGCACAAAATGTTAAAAGGAAAACCGACATATCAACGAGATGATCTAATAATTACTATGAGAAGGAGATTATTAGAGAGATGATCTCATAATCAACAGTGAGATTAGAGAAGAGTTAATTCTTTAAGCTGGGATAATCTTACCCGCTGGCATGAAATAGATCTCTTTGCACTGTTTACTCGAATGAATCGTCACCGTATTTGGTTTTACGATTTAACGGCATGCTGAGCTTAGGAGAGAAATCCCTCCGCTGAATACCAAAACAGTATGTGCCACTGACAGAAAATTAACTCGGGCAATTATAACTCTCTACAAATGCTTTTTAACATTCCATCAGCATGGCTGATGCTAACCTTGAGGAGAGCAACTCATTGGGCCTTCTTGAAATAATGTTTTCAGCTGACAAAGTTGAAAGAGTCTACTGAATCAATTGCTAGGTCTGCGGCTAAGAAAATTGGTTCCTATGTTGTGCTAGACAATTTTTCTTCTTGGAATCTATCATATATTTATTTTTAAGCCTAACGTTCGTCCTTGAATTTAATATTGCTGCAACATCTGGTTCGGGACCCTTCTACAATATCTATTTGGAGATTTTTGATAAAATCCAAAGAATCTGCAATGTTATTGGTCCTGACCTGGCATCACAGCTTCAGTTAGAATACTTTCATGATAATTGTCCTGATAGACTTTCTTCTGTAATAGTATATTAGTGGCAAGGTTTCACGATTTTACAGTTGAAATAGCTATATGTAACCATAAGTTCTATGCTAACAGTTTCTTTTCTCACACTTCTCGCTTGTGGAGCTCTACCAGCTTCTCGCATCCTAGTCAACTTTGGTCTTTAAAAATTAAAATGAATTGTTAAATTGTTATCTTAATTCTTGTTACCTGATAATAGTAATTTTTTCATATTATCTAACACTCAGTAACCACTTGCATCCTAGTGGCTTTATTGCCTTACTTGTTTTTTTTTTTAACTATCCTGCACACTAACTCTTCTATCATCCATTTACAGAAGCTCATTAAGTAAATTGCTCATTGTTTGTCTGTCCATCTTGCCTTCAATGTCCTGTGAGTGTCAAATTTTCCAAGCCTGTTTTTCTCATTATGTGTCCTAGGATTTTCAACTTTGATACTAAATACAGGGGTCTTTTTTGTTGCCATTAAAACTTTCTTCTAGCCTACACACACTGTCCAGTGTATTCTCAGTATCCTTCTGTAGAACCACATCTGTTGTTACAAATCTCCTCTTCATCTGAAGAAAAATGCACTAGGCTATTGCCCCCTGGGCCCAGCAGTAGACTTAGTGAAAATAGAGAGGGGAGAGCAATAATTTCTTTCGGGTGGGGAGAAGAAAAGAAAAAAAAAATACACACACAATATCCCTAGACATTTACAGTAGAACAAAAACCCTCATAGATTAAATAAATTCCCTGAAGATCACTGGGATTGACAGACACCTGAAGATTCTTCAGGCATGAAAGCTAACATGCACGTAAACACTTTTACATGCATCTGTCTCCACCTTCCCCCTAACGCTTTTACACACATGTGTCTTTGCGTAACGCATCATCTATCTCCGTGAAAGCCAATGATTAAAAAAAAAAAAAAAAGAAAAAAAGGGAGGCAGGCTGACCCTGCTTTGATTATACTGAATCAAAGAAATATTAAAAAAACAAAACAAAAAACAACGATCAAAAGCAATGAGTGCCAACCATTGTAATTTCCATCTCCAGATGTGAGAAATCACCCAGCAAGTTGAAACAAATGCTTCTGGAACTAACATCCCCTATAAGTCAAAGAAGATTGTCATTTTTCTCTGCCAAGTGGATTGAAGGAATAAGAAAAAAAGAAAAGAAAAAAGAAAAGAAAAGAAAAAAGAAAAAAAAAGAAAAAGAAAAGAAAAAAGAAAAGAAAAGTGAAAAAAGAAAAAAAAAGAAAAAGAAAAGAAAAAAAAAGAAAAGAAAAAAAAAAAAAAAAGAAAAAAAGAAAAGAAAAGAAAAAAAAAAAAAAAAAAAAAAAAAAAGAAAAGAAAAAAGAAAAAAAGAAAAGAAAAAGAAAAAGAAAAAAAAGAAAAGAAAAAAAAAGAAAAGAAAAGAAAAGAAAAAAAAGAAAAGAAAAAAAAAAGAAAAGAAAAAAAAAGAAAAGAAAAGAAAAAAATAACCTCAAAGATTAATTTCCACTGTGAAAGCAAAGAAGGTGCAGTTGCAATCGTCACGTAGCGCCATAATTCCTTAATTGAAAAGATTAATGAGTTTAACTTGCATCTTTCAATTGACATGGCAAAGTTCTGAAAGAAAGAGATGGATGTCACCATGACAGATGTGCCATCAAGAGAAACTATTGAATTGAAACCTGATTGTGTAGAGATTGTAGAGAAAGAAGCGTACACCCTACATCTTTTGAGGTGCAGTTCAGACAAGGAACACTACTGGAGAGTAAGAAAATTGTAAGAGGTGGCATTTATTGGTCAGCTAATTTCAAAAGTCAAACTAGCATTTCAGGGGATTCTTCACAGAGAAGAAATTAGTGTTACATAAGTGAATGGTATTTGCACCACTTGAGTTACAGGTATGAACAAATCTGATAGGTATAATAATAATAATAAAAAAACAATTCTCTACTTTTTATAAAATTTAATTTATTTTTAGACAATATAAGCTCCAAGAGACACTCAAGGCAGAGAATTACTGGAGGTAGTTTTAAGGGAGGAAGAACATGTAAGTTATACTTTTTTAAACTTGGCAGCTAATTAACATCTGCATAACAATTCATTTTGTCGGTGCACATTTTTTTTTTTATATGTGGGGTTGGAGCTCTAAAGTGTTTCTAAGTTAGTTGGCATCAGGTATTAATAGGCTGCCATTTTTTTTTTTTTTTTTTTTTTATTTAATATTGGCCATGGATGTGCCATTTTGGTTAACACGTCAAGTCTTATAATCCACAAAACTCCCCCCCTATTTCTGACATACACCAAAAAAAAGAAAAAAATTTTTTTTTTCTTTATTGTGTCTATTTTGCTGATGTGTAGTTTTCAAGGAAGGAATGGAACGCAAGCAATGCTAAGAAAGTGAAAAAAAATGGGAAGGGGGGGGATGGTCTTGATGTAGAAAAAGTTTCAGTTCTTTCGCAAAAAAGATGGAGTTGACATATTTGTGAGAGGTGTCAAAAAGACAGGCATTTTTGCCAATTTGGCTTCACTCCTGCGACACTAATAGATGGATTGAGAGGTTTACAGGGAGACCAGGGTGGCGGACACAGAGAGAGAGAGAGAGAGAGAGATGACACAGAGAGAGAGAGAGAGATGACACAGAGAGAGAGAGAGAGATGACACAGAGAGAGAGAGAGAGAGACAGAGAGAGAGAGAGAGAGAGGACAGAGAGAGAGAGGACACAGAGAAAGAGAGAGAGGACAGAGTGGGGGAGGTATGGATGGAGGACAGAGAGGGGGAGGTATGGATGGAGGACAGAGAGGGGAGGGAGGGATGAGGACAGAGAGAGAGGAGGACAGGAGAGAGAGAGAGATGGAGGGGATGGAGGACAGAGAGAGAGAGAGATGGAGGGATGGAGGACAGAGAGAGAGATGGATGGGGGATGGAGGACAGAGAGAGAGAGAGATGGAGGGATGGAGGACAGAGAGAGAGAGAGGGAGGGATGGAGGACAGAGAGAGAGAGAGAGAGGGAGGGATGGAGGACAGAGAGAGAGAGAGAGAGGGAGGGATGGAGGACAGAGAGGGATGGAGATGGGGTCAGGGGACTCAGATATTTACCGAGAAGCAGATTATGCTGAGACCAAATCATTCATTCTAGGCAGCTTTCAATCTTCCAGCATCTCTCCCTTAATCCTGCCCTAAACTTTTCAGGTCAAAATCAGCCATTACAAAAGGAAAAAAAAGAAGGAAAAAAAGAAATTGCAATGGTAACAATTATATTTGTTCATTCTTTGGCATTTTGAAGAAAAGAAAAAAACATGATTAACAACAAATGTTGTTAGCAGGTCACTGAATATCATCATTAACTTACTGACTGGCCCAATGGGTAACATTTGTTAACCTTCACAAATCGTCCAAAAATAAACGCTTTATTACTCTCCCTCATTTTGCATGAAAATGACAAACCATTCCATACCTTTTCTGCGATTTTAGAGGCAGTAGATTTCAATGGCGCCATTCCACTGGTCTTGTGTCATTTCAAAGATCACGCTCTAATGGGAAATCTATGTTGGAATCGCCCGATGACTCCTCAATTAATTCTCCCCTCCGTCTTATCATTCATACAAGGGCTAATCAATCAATCTTTTCAACATTTAACTTAGTTTTGCTAATGTATTTGGGATCCACCTCCACCAAGCCTTGTATTATTGAAAATTGCCTGCTTTTTTTTTTTTTTATAGTTTCACTGCTTCCCCCACAACCTGCCCCAGGTCATTAGTACTATACTAAGATATTATTTATCATCAACGCACCTCCCCTTCTGACTATCGTGATTTTATCTGCTTGATTACGTTTTATGGTTATTTGAAATCGTTACTGGTCAGTAGAAACAGGATTGGTCAGTTTATTTATCACTAAGGTCAGCTGGAAAATGACAATCGATGGTGACCATATATATATATATATATATATATATATATATATATATATATATATATATATATATTTTTCTACAATAAACAAAATTGAAAATTACTACTATATTCTGTAGATTACTTTGCATATTGCAGATATAGTTTTATTTATTCTGGAGATGCTGGTCATTAAATTATCTATATATGGACGCATTTTATATATATATATATATATATATATATATATATATATATACACACACACACACACACTTTTCAAATTTGTTTACTATGTTTGTGCAGTAGAAATCTCTCCCAGATAATGCTAAGACATTAGTTAAATGAAGACACCATTGCTTCTACCACACCCTATATAAACCGGCATTTCTCAATTTTTCGTTTTCTTTCTCTATAAGTATTGTTAATTGCAAGTACCCTTGGGAATGGTATGAATCCTCTTCTCCCCACCAGCTCTGGGTAAATAGCAGGACAGACGAGGTTCCACAGCCTTGGATGGCAACTGGTCTACTGCAGAAAGAAATGGCAACCTACTACGGGGAAAAAAACCTTCCTCATAAGTCATGTATCAAAAGATACATGATCGCCTAAGCATGTATCATGCATGGCACATAACTGACTGTCTCAGGGAAACCCTGCATAAAATTATTATACATCTTACTTATTATAAAATGCAGATTATGTGTGTGTCTGTACGTTTATATATTGGATCAGATTTCTTACATTTTCCAACTGATTTCAACACAACTTCACAGGACTGCGTAAAATTACCTTGCGGTGGTTCTGACAGCGCCAAAAACTGGGAAAACAATTGTTTTTGCATGAAATCAATTTGAAAACACGATTCTGTCACCAGAATGAAAGGGGGACAACTCATATCGAGTTATACTTATTATAAAACCCAGGTTTTGTGTGTGTGTGTGTGTGTGTGTTCGTTTATATATGGGATCGGATTTCCTACATTTTTCAACCGATTTCAACAAAACTTCACTTTTTTGGGGGGCAGGTAGTGTTTCTTATTGTCTTGCACACTTTTTTCCTTTATTTTTACATTCAGAATGCTTTAAAAATTCCATTTACAAGACAATTGTTTATAATAAAATTCTATTCAATCGATAGACTCATAACGATTGAAAACAATGTTTTTGTTTGAGTTTGACCAATTCATTAAAAAAAACAAAAAACTAATTAAGACATGCGTGTACATCAACCATAAACAATCTTTGTCAATTTTATTTTTCAGTCTTTATGATGGTAGATACTTGATCTATCTCTTACTATTACATCCCCAGGCAACACCGGGCTCTACTGTTAGTCATTAATACTAGCTTTTTATATTTTTATCATAGTTCACTTGGTAACCATAATATATAATGATACACAAAACTGCCACATACAAGTCCCATCCATTAACCAATGAAGGCGGTTTCAAACTGATGTCATGTAGACATTGCTAAATGCATTCCCTATGATTATTATAATTTTAAATAATATAAGAAGAGGTGGAAACCTTTATTATAATAACCGAGGATTTGTCAACAATACGTTGTACGTGTATAGTCAAATTACGAATATAAAATGATACAAAATGACTCAAAAATGTATTAGCATATTTATCAAGAAACATCTAGTTACCTCTTGCAGATCTCTGGGGTTCTCGAGAACACTGGTTGAGAGACCCTGTACAAGGCCCAAGAGCCACTCAAGGTAGAGGGTCACATAAAGAAAAGGCTTTAGAAGGAACCAGAAACAATCCTAAACAGAAAAAGGATAAACCCTTACTCCTGAACAAAAAACTGGGGTGGAGTATGATTCAGACAATAGGGAAACTTATCTACTCCCTATCAAAGGTGGGGGGGGGACGACGGAAATAAATAGAAAATAAAAGTTTCAGATTTTTAGGCAGAGGTGTTAGAAGTACAAAGCTGAAGTAGACTTTAGAGAGAAACCAATATAAAATAAGAAATAGGGGCTAAGCCTCTACTTTTGTTCAAAAGATTGGGGAGGAGTGTGAACCAGGTTATAGGTTTGCCTATCAACTCTTATAAACATAAAAAAAATTAGAAGTATCACAAACTAGCTTAAAATCTGCCCTTTTGGGCAGCATTTAAGCGAGCTCCTACAGAGGGTTCTTAAATGTGCCTTCATCACAATAGGTAGGGAGAAGTAGATGCAATAGGCAACAATAAACTATAGAAGAACTCAAAACTGATCGCTGCATTTAAGTATTGGATTAATATTTAAGCTTACCTTTTTAAACTTTAACAATAATTCTTCTGCTGCTGCTTAATTTAAAGATAATTTCTTGTGTGTCAGCCCTCACTTTCTGTATAAACAATTATTTCCAAGTTATAAAAATTGTTATCGCACAAAAAAAAATCGCAGTAATGTAAACTTGGGAATCCAAAATTTCAGGATTGTGGGTTCAGTTCTGACCCAGAACATTTTTAATTTACTCATGGAGTCAGCCTGATTCAAATATAGTATGTTGGGCAATGGCTAATACAAGTAAAATTGAACTAGTGTGATATGGTGACACACTGACTTTTATTATATAGATGGAGCAAAAGTGACATGAAAGTGATTTGCAGGTGGTTGCAAGAAGAAATCAGGGAGCCAAGTTCATTACATTCATTTAAAATTAAAAATTCTGAAAATGTGAAAATTTGTAAAATTCTTTTTAAAAAATAATGAAAATTTAGAACGTTTTTAAATAGAAAAAAAAAAATTTAAATTAAAATTTACAAAAAACGATTTTTTTAAAGCATGCGATATTTAAAAATAAGAACTTACACAGAAAGTAAAAATTTACACAAACAAATGAAATTCATCAACTTGACTAATTAATCTGGTTTAACAATATCGGAACAAACCAGATAAACAAGTTTGAGTCAGGGAAGTAATTATGGTCATAAGGGTTCAACATGTACTGCAGCTATAACAGCAGTAGTGTATCTTGGGCAATAGCACTTGACAGAAGCCATAGCTTTTCAGGTTAGTTTCAAGTTCAGAATTTACCTCTGCCCCAAATGATTGACAACAAATCTGATACGTGTGTGTGTGTGTGTGTGTTGATGATTACTATAGCATGTAAAGCTGCTTTCATTTCAGACACTGACACTTATCTATTTACTTCTGAGGTTGAAAATGAAACAAATAGTTAAAAGTATTACAAACATAACACACAATTTTGATAAGTACCTTTAAAAATCCCTAAGGAGAGGGTGGAAACAGATGAGGAAAGAGAGAGAGAGAGAGGGAAAGGACGGAAACAGCAACTTTGTTTTCATTATCAATTATCTTTAAACTTAGCCATGCGCCTTGGGTTTGATTCAAAGTCAACAAACGGGTGGGGGAGATAAGAGAAAGAGAAAAAAATAAAACAGACATTTATGCACACAACAATTCTCCAGATTTTCACCTGAACAAATGAAGTTGAAAAGTGCACAATCACCAAGTTGTCATTCATTTTCTTTTGAAAGGGGGAGGGGGGAGAGAGAAAGAGATGCAGACAAATGAACTTGACTTTTCTTTTAATTCTTCATGTCAAACATTTTCGTAGTCAATAATGCCATAACTGTCCCATAGTAAAAAGTGTGCTTTTGCCAAAAATTGGAAATAATGATTCAGACATTTTTTTTATTTGCATTTTCAAAGCCAAAAGAAAAAAGAAAAAAAAAAAAAGCATTTGATGACTGCTGGGTAAGAGAGCAGAAAACCTAGAAACTAAATACATATCATTGGTAAATGATATGAATGCTTAAATAGTTTTACACATTACTTAAAGATATTAATTACCATTTTAACGTATATTAGATTTCACCCCTTGAAATAAAAAGCAAAACTAACTAAAACAAAAACTAACTAAATAAATAAACAAAAAAGTAAACTAAATAAATAAACAAAAAAGTAAACTAAATAAATAAACAAAAAAGTAAACTAAATAAATAAACAAAAAAGTAAACTAAATAAATAAACAAAAAAGTAAACTAAATAAATAAACAAAAAAGTAAACTAAATAAATAAACAAAAAAGTAAACGAAATAAATAAACAAAAAAGTAAACGAAATAAATAAACAAAAAAGTAAACGAAATAAATAAACAAAAAAGTAAACTAAATAAATAAACAAAAAAGTAAACTAAATAAATAAGAATAATAAATATGTAAAAATAATCTTTCAGAACTTCTATGCAAAGATGAGCTGTCTAGTCAACT